AACCATAAAAGGTTGAATCTTAGCTGCGGCCGACCCAACAACAAACATGACTCGAACGTATGCCCCCATACTTCAAACCATTCAGGTTGTAGAGGACGATCTACACAGAGTATTCTGCGCAAAATGACACAGTAGGAAATAAATATTACATGAGAGCAGTGGATGATTTGATTCAATAATGCAGTGCATTTCATCGCGTATGGAGTAAATGAACTGAAAAGCTAGAAAGCAATGAGCAACCTGAGCGACCTGATTGGTTCTTATCAGCAATGCGAATCCATCGACCGATCTGGGGATCGAACCCAAGACCACACAAGTGGAACATAAGCATACTATCTGTGAGGTCCCGGGTTCGATCCCCAGTTGGGTCGATGAATTCGCATTGATTATAAGAACCAATCAGGTAGAAACAGCTGCTCAGTGCTTCCCAGTCTGATTGTTGCATTACTTCGTCCTCATCATCGGCTCTGCATCATTTCAAGGTATTTCTCACTGCTCGTAAACGGCAAATCGGTCATTGCCAGGTAAGTTTTAAGCTATTCTGGATAGTTTGTGTAAGCTAATGTAGCTATACGTTTTGCACCTTCAAAGTGCAAAATGTTGCTAAAAGACTAGTTTGAACCAGTTCCCAACCTCGTTCTAAAATGGTGGACGCACAACGGCTGAAGTGCCACCACGTAAACAGAAGGCAGGATTGGCATTGGNACCTTGTGATATCTGTGACGCCGTGGCCACATCCGACTATCTGTGAAGCTGGAGCAGTTGAGTCAGTGTTGTTTTACGAATTATTACAAGAAAAGGAATAAAAATATTATGTAGGGATTTGAATATCGCTGTCCAGGCAGATAGCTGATGTAAAGAACTAAGGCCTGTCAAACTAAGATTTGCCATGAGGGTATGGAAACCCTGACCATTAGACTGGGTCATATAAGCCGCGTTAGGCTCCCTGAATGGGGACCTTGAGATTATGATGACCGGTGGTTAGAGAAACTGAGTGATATGACTCAGTGTCAGAAACAGCGGCGATCGTGCATCTACTCATTATCCTTTGAACCCTAGTCTAATTTTTCTCTATGACTGCTCTCAACATTCCTAGTTTCATTCTGCTCTTTTACCCAAATGGACAATCTTAAGGCAGTAACCAAAACCGTTGCAAGAAGATGCACGGTTAATTGTTGTAAACATTGAAACGGAAGCTAATAGCGTTTCTAACGTTGTATGCAAGTGGAAGCAAGCGACTTGTCGGTTTGATATTTCACTTACTTGATCAGCCAATGGTGGACAGGGTACGGAATGGAGTTCATCAACAGTCGGATTGTAGTACGTACGGGCATGGAATCTAATGTCACGTGATCGTAAATGACGTGTCAGTGCTTGCAATGCGGTAAAATGTTGTGCGTGCTAATCACACGGGTGTGTCTGTGTGTGTCTGGCGAGTGAGAGAGGGAAGAAGGACTCAACCGCTCCGCTACAAATTATTTCAACCTGTGTATAGTCTGAGCCAAAACATAGTGAATACGCGAGAACCACCGTTTACAGCTCTCATTCATATCACACAGTCTACAGTACTGAATCGGCTGATTCATCAGTTTCCACAACCATCGTCTGGTACTCTCATGCAACGGTTACCGTCGCTGTTTTTCGAACCACTCATTTAGTCAATCCGCCAAAGAAGGAATACATGGCAGGGGGAGGTAAAAATGTAAGTACTAGAAAACAATGCATCGAGTGAACTAGATCTCTCCGAACTATGGACAACCTTTGAACGAAAACAAAAGCCATTAACTTCCTACTTGACAGCTGAATAAACTGACAATTTCGGACCACAGAGGATAGTGCTGAGATAAGCGAGGCGCGCTGCCCGTAACAAGCTCGCAAAGATCGATTGTGCTGTGCTGTGTAAATGGACAATGAAAAACGGTCTAATCAGCTGCCCGGTGGCCTTAGTGGGTAGCACGCTTGCTTTCTGCTTGTGAAGTCCCGGGTTCGATCCCCAGTTGGGTCGACGGATTCGCACTGCCTCCAAAAGCCTCACTATAGTCGAGGGTGGGTGTCTAGAGTTGTGACTGGTCACCATTCCCTCGCACCTCGCGAAATTCTCCCATACGACCAAGTGTCTCGAATAGCCTCTGCTGAGAAAGCCCGGCTCACTGCCTTCCGGTGGCAGAGGTGTTTTCCTCCACCCAAATTGAGAGGATGAAAAGTCGACATCCGGCGATATAGCTGGGTGCGTGGACCACTGGTTGTTTATCTAGGGAAGTTGGCCAAAAACACTGATTCCCAATATAGCTGTACTCCGTCACGCATAAACATGGACAGAAGTTATCATCGGACTTGCAGTTATGATCATGGATCTACTGGATTAGGCACGGTGATTCATTGTACCATATATCTTGAAGGTGACCCGGTGGTGGTAGTATAACCAGTTATCACCTCGGAGGACTTGTGGTCGAATCCCACCACCACAACCCGTTATGTGTGTTCTATGGCAGTCCCGTTTGATTGGCCGCTTCCACCTGCCGGAAAATTGCGTGTTCGTATACTCAATAAAAGGAAGTAAATGAGAATGAA